TTTTTTTTTTGCTCTGCTCCATATGTAGAACTAGTTTTATTGTGGCTTTTGCCAGTTTTTCGTGGTCTTCCACGGTGTCCCGGCATGATTAAAGTGCCATTTGCATTCAGGAAATTCTAGAAGCATCCTCGGTCGGCGTGAGAATCGAAATACATTGGAGCAGTACACGCAAGTACATCGAAACCAGCGGGAGACAAGGTTGGGAGAATACTGTAGTCTTGAGCGAGCCACGGAAACTACCCGAGAGAAATATCGGATTTTTCTCGGGTTTGTAGGTGGTATTTCTGGCTGAATAGTTCGTGTAATATGGGATTAGTAACACACTTCATTTTTTTTTGTGACCTTTATTGATTTTGGGCGCGTTTTTTGCCAATTCTTATTTTGGGCGCAGGCCAAATTCGCTACGACGTCTACGTCCTAGCGGCGATGCAATTGAGAGCCCTGATTGACTTGATAGCGTCATCTTTGACTTTTTGAAATCTGCGCACATTATCAATTTTCATGCAAGGTTGGAAGCATATGTTCATTTTCTAGTTGCATAATTTACGCCAAATTCTGATCACACATTAATAAAAGCTACGTAGACGTGTTCTTCAATTTTTCAACTTAAATTTTGAGAAATTTCATCACATTTTATCAATCAGAAACTATTTTGACTGGGCCAGTTCTGGAGGCTACCAAATCGTGACCTGGCCCGAATCTAGAAATCTCCATTATGTTCATGGGTAATTGAGTGCATCAAAAAAAAAAAAAAAAAAAAAAATTAGCATGAACTTGCTAGACAATGCTTAAAAATGTATAAGACATCAAAGCACACCATATATTAAACATTAAATACCTCCAGAATGCTGCAAGCGAATTGCTTACTTTTGTTCGGAAGCTAAGCGTTGGCCCGTTTCCACAAGAGCTCCAATGCATTCATATCCCTTTCAGAACTTTTGTAATCCATCCAGCCTTAAACTCCAGTGTCTTATTGAAGAATTTGTAAAATAAATCCATAATGATATGTCCAGCATTGAACGTATTACAGTACATCTAATTTCCCGTGCTGAAAACAAATATTGTCGTCCATTAACAATCTACTACTCCCCTGGATTGCATCCGTAGACCAAAGGCTTTGTTCTTGACGTCTGAGCAATCAGAGGCTGTTTTTGACTGGCAGCCATGCTTGCTTGTAGCACTGATCACTGACAAATTGTGCAATGGAATAACACGAGACTCTTATCCCTGCGACTTACAGACCTATCCCATTAGGGGGCAAGTGCTCAAAATAATCAGTAATTTACATGGAAATAACAAATGCTTTCGACTGAAAAGTTCAATTTTTAGTTAAAAAAATCATATATCATTCCACTGGAAAAAAAGAGGCTAATTACCAATAATAAAATTTGCCAGTTTTTCTCGATATGATTTTCAACCGATATGATTGGCTGTGGTGTCATTTCAAAGTAGTTTTCAAGCGCTTTCCAGGTACCAGTTGCACTGGAATTGGCGGAGTTTGAATTTGTTGTTTACATACCTACTCTGTGCATGCAGCTCATCTATCACTATTGCCAAGCTCTAAACATAAAAAGGCCGCATAGGTTTACGCAGGGCAGCACTGAAGAGGACTCTGCGCAGTCTAACAGTGTAGGGCTGTTGGGCAGTGAAACAGCATGGAATCTTGGCCAGGAAGCTTGGAACAGCAGTAGCAGTCGCAGGCTTGATTCTCAGGCGGGGTGCAGCACTGCTGCTTTTCCTCGGGCACCGTCCTTAATGTGAATTGTTTCGGCGTGTGGCCGGGTATCAAAGCACACACTAAAGACCTAAAATGACAGAGCAATATAGACTTAATGGGCGTCACAGATTAGCAGGCTACAGTATAGACTCCCATCAGATCGTTAGGACATGGAACAGACCTGATCCTAAACAGCAACCATTCTGTAGGGTTTCATTTCATAGCAGCTGAGTGAGGTCTCCTGCTGTTGAATGAGGCATTCCTAGTTAGAGTTGGAGTAAAAACCAACAGGAGGAAAAATCATCATTATGTGTCTGAGTGGCAGGAGGTGTTGGTGGGTTGGTGCACCAGAAAATTCTCTGTACAGTACAGAGTAACAAAAAAACTCCCCCATTCATCACGGGAGAATTGGTGGAAAGTGATGGGAGAGTGGTAAAGGGGGGGGGATGAAAGAGCTGGACAGAATGAATAAAGAGGGAGGACAAGACTGAAAGAGAGAAGTCGAAGAATTCCAATTCAGTGCCATGTCCAGGGCTGTCCGCCTGCCTGATTTGCAAGGGTAATGACAGGTTTCCGTGCTTTTCACTTTTTCTCCTGACTGCATAAATTCCAGCTCAGTTGTCATATGGGGAGCGGTGGTAGTGGTAGTGGTGGTGGGGGGACTACTGTAATACTTCATGTGACCAGCAGATGGCGATGTTACAATGGGAATGGGGATTCCCCACTACTCCCAGCACGAGAGGACCACCAGCTTCAGGCAGTAGCCTCTTGTCATTACCTGCCATCGACCGTGAATCTGAATAAGACTGCCCGCCTCAGCACAAACCGCACCGAGATCAGGTTCAGCCAATCAGGGGCCAAGCGCTGGCCAGAAGGACAGATGCTGCAGTAACGTGATCAAAGTGGTAGCACATTCCAGCCAGTGACCAAAAATCCCCCTCCCGCCTGTCCACTGCTGCAGAACCGAGATAGAATAATGGGGTGACCGGGAACCCTCAAAGTGCCAGAATTCGACCGAGAAAAATCCCCTGTACCCGCCACCGAGTTTCACTGAGTCGCAGGATTGATTAGAGCCGCATTGAATTTATATTGACGCATGAAATTGAAAGCCAGATGTGACCTAGCCTCACATTTGATTTTTATGCTTCCAGAACTTGGCAGAGAAATAACTGCCGTGTCGTTCGGTGAGTGAATTCAGCAATAAACTTCAGAGAAAATGCATCTGTTGAGTTCAGAGCTGAGTGCACCAAGAAGCCGTCAGCTCCCCTCTTCGTGTAAGATTTCTGCCCACGCGCTGACACTCATGATCCACAAAATTATCTGGCAGCCCTAATACTCCTGTCAAACGCAGGCTTAGCGCATTCATTAAATGAAGCATTATCGCTAGGCAGTAATTAGCCCTGAAGGCCATCTGATTCTCAAAACGATGCGACTGAGATCGGTGTTCTGCCAGTCGGGCCTGAAAGCAAACACTACAAGCAGCGGAATCCAAACAAACTGCCACTTAATTAGATCAGTTAATAGGCATAATTAATCCACTCGCGAATAAGGAACACAATTTGGTTAAGCGAAGGGTCTATGGCAAAGGCTTATCCTCATGCGCACAAAGATATTAAGCAACTCCCCTGGTTCTCACTTCTGGATATTACATCCAGCAAGCCTCAAAACCTTCGCACAGATACAGGACCTACAGCCCTCCACGGACTAACAACCCCAATGAGCAAGGATTCACCAAGGCTACAGAAAAGCCAAACTCTATTGAAGCGACACGACGCATTTGTTCATCTTTGAATTGAAATACGGTCTATTGCAATCCCCAAAACAGGCCATCAGAATCTCTGTTCGCCATGTATCTTCACTCTGTCACAACAAATTCAGTGTGAGAGGGGGAATAAAGGCCCGTTTCGACTCAATGCTCATCTTAGAATTCTGATACATTCACTACAGACACAGACAAAACCCCTCAAAACCCACAACACACTGAAGTACTGTCGATGCGCAGCAGTACATCACCGGACAACAGAAAGCAAACACTTACAGCATGCCAAATTACAATCAGTTCAATTCAGTCACAGCTGTCGCTAGAGGGATGAAGGACAGAGAAATTCAAATAGCCCCCAGCAGGCGTGGGCCCAAATATTACCCAGCAGGACAGAGAAAGAGAGGCTCGAAGCAATGGGGCCAGATTTCCAATCCAAGCTACCATCCTCTGTAAGAATCATTTTATTATTATTTAAAGTTAATCCACATCTTTGCTCTTAATTTTGGAAAATGTACGAACTCAATTTCTTGAAAAATATTTCAGTAAATACAATAATTGTAGCCCCAAGACGAAGTCGAGGCTACTTTGGATCTGACCTTGTCACGCATCTGCTGCCACCGCCGTAGAGATTTCTTGTGGACGCTTCCCACTGGCCACATATTTCAAGTCATTTCTTTTATATTAGGCATGTATATGGGCAGCGGTTAGGACACCGCGCCTATCGATTTTGGTTGCCATGGTAACACACCTCACTAAATAATAGACAATTTTGTGTCAAAAAATAAGCCAAAATGAAGAATAAGGCCAATCTGGGGCTACACCCATTGGTCGTGGGCGACTGACCTGTCTAGTTGTGATAAACATTAATAAACACAGATGAATAATGCAATTATATGAGGGCCACTGTTTCAAAAGGTCTGCTGGCGTCAGTAAATCTACTCCATGAAAAAAAAAAAAAGAGAGTAAATTTTAGGCTGATCTGTTAACTCCCCAGGTCTCAGTGACTGCACTGGGCAGAGCTGGGTGTCCAAGCACAGGTGCATGCTGGGAAGTGTCACGTTCCACTGCTGGGCCGTGGTGCTCCAGGGTGTCACTACCTACCCTAACCCTCCCACAGAGGGGAGAGCGCACACAGGTCTTTTCCTGGAGAGCCCAAAATGTGCATCAGGTGACCTGAGGACCCCATCAGAACCCCCAAACGAGCCTTCAGGAACCACAAGGCCAAAGCCAGCCTTTACTGCTAATCCCTCAGCAGAGCCACTGCAGTTAAGATAAGATAAGACACAATTTATTGAACCCTGTGGGGTAATTTGTCCTCTGCATTTGACCCATCCTATAGTTAGGAGCAGTAGGCAGCCACAGCGCAGTACCGGGGTCGACTCCAGTTCTAAAGCCAGTACCTTGGTCAGGGGCACCGGTAGGAGAGTTCCTATAATGCATGTTTTTGAGGGTGGGGGAAACTGGAGTACCCAGAGGACAACCCACACGAACACAGGGAGAACATGCAACTCCACACAGCAATGCCCCAGGTGGGATTCGAACCCACAACCTTCTTGCTGTTAGGCGACAGTGCTAACCACTACACCACCATGCCACCCAGGATCGCAGTTTCAGGCACCAGCTTCAATACAATGATTGCAAAAATAGGATTTAAAAAAATAGCCGGTAATCTTTTCCCAAAAAAAATGTAGACAAAATAGTTTTTCTATGTGTAATGACTCCCTGTGAGATAATGTGCATCACCACTGTGTTAAGACAAAAAAAATAAAAAAAAAAAAATCATCTACACAATTAAGGAGCACATAATGCAAAGAAGCCGTCTGTCACAGGCTTAGTAAACAAGCTCCTTTCTGCCTGACATCATGCCCCAATGAGATTCACCATTTCCCTCCAGAACATTTTCCATCTCCAGAACATACATGGCTGCACCCAAAAACTGCATCTTCGTGCAGTAAAAACATTTTTTCCAAGCCTACGGAAAGTCAATGGGTGATTCCAGAGGGTTGCTTTATATTTTTCTACTGTCTACGTGAGAATCCTGTAAAAATATTCTCCGACTCCGCACACCTAAGACAGCAGCTTCCTCATCCATCATCATCCTCAGCTCCTTCTCCCACAGTGCTGTGCTGCAGGCTGTACTGTCCTTGTGTGCCCTGGTACAGAACGCCCAATCCCCACAGGCGAGCCACTACACCTCCCTCCATCCCTCCCAGCTCCTGATGTAGTTATAATGGCACAGTCATTAAAGCCGCTTTCGAAAGAATCAAACACTCGGCAATGTACAGAGCCTGCCTCACCGGGCCCTCCTTCTGTATCCCTCTCCACAACAAACACACAGAAAACATACACACACGCGTGCGCGCATACACACAAACACACTCACGCAAACACACCATTCTCACCATTTCATACATCTTTCTGCCACACTCACACACAGATGTGCACATGCCACGAGACTCATCATCATTCGCATCATTTAATATACCTCTACAAAGTCAAACTCTCTCATACACAGGACACACACGCACACACACACGCATATATACCACTGCCTCATATCTCTCACCCTCACCAACATTTCCGACTTCTCCCGAGTTTTCATTCAAAGATGGTTACCAACAAACAAAAGCACAGATAAGGCACCAGTCAGATTAAATTTTTTGCAGGTGAACCTTTTCAAAGTTTAGCATTGCATAGCTCTGTTTTAAACATGATACAAGGTCAACAAGGGGCCAGAGGAGAGACAATCAGCAAGAACCCTCATATTACCGCTAATCTGTCACATTTCACATCAATCTTAATGAGCAATTAGTCCAATATGTATCATTCATATTTACACTCACAGAGGGAGTGGCCCAGTGAGAATCTCCACAAATTATACGCAAACGAACAACTCCATATTCCCACTGCAAGTGTCTCCATGTTCAACAGCTGAAGTCCAGAGGTGGTGCAGTGCACAAACTTACCTTCAGGGGGCGCTGCAGCAGAGGAGCACAGCATCCTATGACCTTGCCATGTAGGGACATCCTTCAAACCCTGAACAAAGAGATGGAAAAGAGGGAGGGGCACATGGGGAGGGAAAGTAAGTTAGGAATGTCTAAAATGGAGGAAAAAATACAAGATAGCTCAGGGACTTCAACTGTACTCCAACAGGAACAGACATTGCGTTCATCACTCACAAATACTGCCAGACCGAGTTTAAGAACTCCCGCAACTGCAGAGCAGCAAGAGATGTTAAAGAATGCAAAGACCTTAAGTGTCACAATAGAAAGGAATAAAATCTTAATCATCACAAAATTGATCAAGATGTCAACCCTTTTTAAAATAAATACCAGGTAGATTCATGGCATTTTTCCTTAGGGGTATTCATACATGGTTCCAAAGGTTCAGACCCAAGACAACTGTGGAAGTTTCCATGAATCAGCTTCACTTTTTTTTTTTTTGGTACGTCGTGATTTTTTGGCCCAATTTCTCCGCAATAGGCTTTATTTCAGTTCCTTAGTTGGCAAATGGAAGTAACAAGTTTACCTGTTTATTTCACCAAAATTTGGCTCAATAAAATGTAGGCCAATGTGAAATTCAATTTTTTTTTTTTTTTTTTTTTTCCACAGTTCACATCTTATCTTGCTCTACTTGAGATTAGCTACAGGGTACTGGCTGCATTTGACAGAAAACCTGACAAAAAGAGTGCACAAAATGTACTGACATGCGGTTCATACATGTGTGCCATAGCAGAGACTATAGTCAGGCAGCCACAGTGGTTATAGTCTCTCCCCCCACACAGACCGCGTCTCGCACACTCACACCTAAACATCCCCTCATTACCATCCTCCTGTTAATCTCCAGACAGCACACTTCCCTGAACTCGCTACTCAGTCTGACATCTATAGAAACTCCTGTCAAATGGTCCGACACTGCAAGCGTGAGTGTTTTTCAGTGAGCTCGCAGTTCAGGCAGAATCCATGTATTGCCAAAGCATAGTCACTAACGAACAGACACATTCAGACACCGACACACAGGAACACTGAAGTGCACTAATTGGGGAATTAGTCATTTTAAAATGAACTTGGAGCAGGCAGGGCTGTAGCAGTGGGTTTAACCAGCTGAGAATGACAGAACGGCAGGACAGGGAGTGCACACTTCCTGCTCTCGCTCCCACAGTAACACAGAGTAAAATATAAAAAGCCTGGGGGGAGGGGCATGCCTGGGAACTGCCCCACCTCCTGCCCTCCTGCTCCCTCTTTGCCCCTCCCACTGGCTTCACTCCTCTTTTGAAAGTCACTTACTTTCAGCGAAGCCGAACACGAGAGGAACAACATCACAATTCCCTGGCAAAGGTCCACTGACTGACAGTACCTTTTAAGGCTATTCAAGAGTTAAGAACACCGCCCTTCCAATCCACAGTGGTGGGAGGGAGGGAGAGAGAGAGAGAGAGAGAGAGAAAAGGGGGAGGAGAGGGAGTGGAGAGATTTACCAAAGAATTTATGGGAAATACCACTTGAGGAGATGTAACTGATTAACAGAACACAAATATATGCGCACAACACACACAAATGATGAAAAACCGCTGCCTAAAAAAACACAGTGATATAATCGCAGTCACAGGAGTGCACGGTTGATGACACAAGCTACCGCTCTTGACGAACGGCATTAGAGAGGAAATGACTGAAGTGACTGTGTGTGTGCCAGCGTTGGATGCGTCGCATGTTTGAACAGCGGGGCTGCCCTGTGGACCAATCACGACACAGATGCCGCATTAGCAGCAGATAAAAGAGCCCGGATCAGTTTCACGGGCCACCGATTGCCATAACCTGTAACCGATACGCCTCCCACAAGCTTCCTCCAGCCCTCCCCCTTCAAATAGACATTACGAATTGCACAACCGGTACAAATGGCGTCCTCCTTCTTCCTTTCAATGCTTGTTAAAACACATTCAATTACAAACCACCAGAAGACTGCACACAGTTGCAGACCTGTGATACTAAAAGTGATCGCAAAGTGTATTTGGACTAAAAGTCTCTGAGTCAAAAGTCCACAAAGGTACCTTGTGGCACGGCAATGAAATCAGTCAGTCGGCAGCGTGGTGGTTGAAACTAGGAAGTTGCTGTGAGGGAGCGGCCGTTGTACCCTTGGGCAAGATATTTAACCTGCACAGCCAGAAAACAGTGAGCTGTGCAAGTTCCTCCGGATGTGGCATGTGGCCAGTCAGATAAATAATGCAATGTAAAGATTGAAGCAAACTGGGGTCACACGGTGCACTGCATGCCCGCCTGCACCCTGGCACGGAGCTACGCCCAGATATGATTCAGATATGCCATGATTCAGATGTAGCTCATATATGGGCTTGGTGATGCAGGGTTGGGTCCTGCAATGGAGGAACGAGCTGGTTTGTAGGACCGAGAAGGGCTCAAAAACAGCACCAGCCAACAGCAAAATTCTCAGAAAATATGCAAGTGGCAGGTAGACTTGCTTCACTCACCAGCCAAAAAATAACGCTCGTCTATTGAGCGGCTGGTAGAATTTGAACAATCACAAGCCAATGGGCCGGTGGACATTAAAATTAAATTTGCACCCTGAGTGTGGGCACTGAGAGAGGGACAGTCCCTGAGACAGAGACCTGGATGGGCCCCATGACGCAGGGATGAGTACCGTGATGCAGGAATAGGCCCCGTGATGCAAAACTGGGCCCTGCGATGCGGGGATGGGCCCCCTGACGCAGGGATGAGTCCTGTGACGCAGGAATGGGCCTCCTGACGCAGAGATAGGTCCTGTGACGCAGGGATGGGCCCCCTGATGCAGGGATGAGTCCTGTGATGCAGGGATGGGCCTCCTGACGCAGGGATGGGCCCCTTAATGCAGGAATCGACTAGCTTGACTTGACTCCCAAAACATCTCTATCTGAGAGGAAGCCGAGCAGGCAGAGGCTCGGTAACGTCTTCAGATCTCAGAGCACAGACATGCCTCAGCTCCTCAGGCTCTATACTGTCTGTCACACAGCACAGGCAGGCCAGAGGAGGTGGAGGCGAATCTGAACGGTAATGAAGGATGCAGAACTCCTCCTCTGTTTGGGACAGGAGTGAGTAGGGCCCAATGCTCCCAGCGGGAGGGCGCGCTAACACCCTGGGAAGCAGCTGGCTGCAGGTCCCGGATAAGGAAAGTGACATTAAACAGTGATGAGGATTTAACAACACTGGAGGGGGCTGGGTTACTCAGCCTGGTGCTGGCTCTGCCTGTTTGAATGGTGCTGGCCAGTGAAAAACAAGTGCGCACAAATTGCTCTTATTTGTACTTATTTCAGAACACACTTGCTCACAGACTTCATTAGCCTACTTTGTCAAGCAAAAAATGAGCTCAGACTTGCTGGTAGAGGGTTTGTTTTACGATGCACCCTGGGAATGTTTCTCAGACGCAGTGAAGTTCATCCATTCAGAATTAGCCGGTCTGAAGGCGTACCACTGGGCCTTTCTTTGCCTCTTATTACTGGATATAGACAGAAAATAATACATTATGAACAAAAGGGCAAATGAGCACAATGCAGGATTTATTTTTACATTAACACTGCAGAGTGTGCAGCACAGAGCCTCCTCAACGCAA